ATGTTTAAGTTAAATTACTGATATATTTCAATAATGTTTGGTTTTGGATTGTTACAAAGGTTTATTACTTCCTTAAACGTTTGTTGTTAAATGAAAACTTGGTAAAATCATCAAATGGAGGAACGTGACTGTGTCACGTGACCCTCCCCATCGTGACGCAGAGTCAGCTGACTGCAGAGGAAGCTTCAATCCTCCTCACGACCTTCATCGCTTCGCTCTGTTCCTGCGGTTCTGTTCCAGGTTCTGCTCCCGGTTCTACCTCCAGAATGGCCAGTCAGTCTCAGGGGATCCAGCAGCTGCTGCAGGCTGAGAAGAGAGCGGCGGAAAAGGTGGCGGAGGCCCGGAAACGTGAGTATGACAGGCGGTCCGCTGTGAGCCTGCTGGGACCGGGTCAGAGCCGAACCAGAACCCGAGGAGCAGGGGGCTTAGACCGCGGGTCCAGTTGGACCGGTAGAACCGACCAGTGGGCTGATTTGAGGCCGCGCTGCAGAACTCCGCAATAAACTCAGCAGATTTAGATATTATCCTGAGCTGAGCGGTCGGTACCGGAACATTTCACCGAACCGAAGCCGGATCCGGCATCGACAGAGTCTGCTCGTTCCATCGGCTTACAGTGCAAAAGGTTCTGGTCGGTTCTTTTAGGTTCTGGGGGATGTTTTGACTGCGGTCCTGTCTGATCTCAACCGTAACCAGAACAGAACCGTCCGGGCTGTGAGGCTGAAACATGACCCGAACTACTCGGTTTAGAAACGGAACCAGAACTTGATCGGTAAGACAGGTTCAGTCCAAAAAAAATGGCACCTACAGGATCTCAAAAGGTTCCACTAACATCTGTTTCCGGTCGCTGTCCCATGATGATGACGTCACGATCAGGGTTTCCGAGGAGAGCTTAAATCCTGGTGCTGGATGAATAAACCCGGTCTGAGCCGTTCATTTTCCTCTGGTTCCTCTAATAACATCTATAAATTGAGCAGCTGAGTAATAAATGTGTTTCTGACAGAACTTGGATGAAAATTAGATAATTTCCAATTTATTATTTAGTTGTCGTTGATCAGACTGGAGCCAATCAGCTATTTAGGGTAACATTTATTAGCAGATAGAGGAAACTGTGTTCTCTGCTCAGGCTTCATAGTTTAGATGAATTCTATAGATCTAGTCTGGGATGACAGTTAAAGATCCCAGCTGTCAGTCAGCTCCCTCTGAAATGATCGGCTGGATAGTGGAGCTGGAACCATTGCACTCTTCCTCCTGGTTGCAGTTCACACAGGAGATCACAAGTAAGTCGCACATATTTGGAAATGTGAACGGCAATGCAAAAAAATTGGGATTGCACAAAAAAATCAGAATTGAGCATCAAGGCCTGCAGCGTGAACGTAGCCCATGTTTGGAGGCTTGGGTTTGAACTAAAGTAACTAACTTTGGTTTGATGCTCCTTGAATTAAAAACCCTGAATGAAGTCATGAATAAGAGCGTTTAGGACTGAAGTTCTTGGTTGTTGAGGAAATAAGTTTGCTTGAATTTCTGCACTTTTTTCAGGCTGCGTACATTCTTTTACATCCAGACGAGGATTTTTTTTGTGCTTTTATGGAGCTAAATTTAGGCCATACAATTTAAAAATAATAATGATAATTTGAAGCTGAAGAAAATATAATTTGAGATGGGAAAATTATTTAGAATCCATAAAACATGTTTCAAACTGATACAATAAAAACAATAACAATATGGTAAAACAAAATTGAAGCTAAAAAATGATATCTTCTAAGCCTAAAAAAAAAA